AGGAATGCCTAAAAGGACGTTACCTCAAAGAAATGCAAATTCTAACAGTCAGAAGGTTAATGATATACAAAACAAAAAGAACATGCCTGTAATTTCTTCCGTGACAAGTTTAGCTACAATTGGAAATGGTCAGTCCAGTCCAACAACACAACAAAATAATGTAAATAACATGTTAGTACCTTCAGTTGCTATCAGCCAAAATCAGACACCACAAGTAATTTATAAGCAACATATTATAACAAGACCACCAAGTCCAGTTCAAATACACAATAAAACAACTCAGTGTAAACCTGTGATGCACACAAAAGGAGTTTCTGTACGTCCACATCCTTGTACAAAAGCTACACAAACAGATGGAATTCAACAAGCAGTTGTACCAATACCGGTTCCAATTTATGTTCCATTTCCAGTGCATATGTATACTATGCCTTTTCCAGTTCCATTACCTTTTCCATTACCAATTCCTGTTCCTATTTTTATACCTACAACAAGAAATAGTGCTAAAGGAATATTTAAAGAAATCAAAAGAATACAGGAGAAAATACCAGCAGATCCTTTTGAAGCTGAACTTCTTATGATGGCAGAAATGGTTGCTACAGAGAAAAAAGCAAATGAGACTGATTCAGATTCTGCAGATGACAGGTAATTTTATTATTAATAGCTATTATCAAATTTTTTCCTACTTTTTCCTCGTGTTTTTATAGAGATGAAGATACTGGCGATCGTGATCATGCACATAGTGGAGGATTCAGTCCAGAAGGTGTTGATTCCAGTAACACATTTGGTGATGATATGTTACAAATGGCTTTGAAAATGGCAACTGAAGAGTTAGATGAACCGGCTGTTGATTTAGAAGCTGCTTTAACTCCAAATACCATCACTGCTACACAAGCACCAACCCAACCTGATACGACAATGGAAAATGATGGTAATAAAAGAATATACACTATGCACAGAAAATAAATAATTAGGTATACTGAATAAATCATAATTAATTATTTACTCAACATATAGTTCAATCGGAACGGCACAGCATTGCTTCTCGGGGAAGAAAACGGATGGTACCATATAAACCGCGATCTACGCCAAATAAGCGAGGAAGGCGTGTATCTGGTACGAACGATATGCCTCTGATGCCACCCCCTGAACCTCAACCTCCACCTCAACCAAGAATAATAGAACCCATAGAAAAACCAGATGCTAATATGGCACTCAAATATACTTTCGGCGTAAATGCGTGGCGACAATGGGTAATTTAAATAGATTGTACTTTTTATTTGAAATTTAAGATTAAAGAATATAAATTTGTTTAAAATAGGTAGTTGCAAAAAATGCTGAATTAGAAAAACAAAGTACACCAATGAGAAAAATGAAATTATTTAAAACAGATCTTTTGCAACTCACAGCTGATGAATTAAATTATTCATTATGTCTTTTTGTGAAAGAAGTTAGAAAACCAAATGGAGCAGAGTATGCTCCTGACACAATATATTATCTCTGTCTAGGTAAATGAATCATTTGTCTTCATTAACTAAAAAAGGTGTTTAGTTATTTAAAATTTTTCTATGTTACAGGAATTCAACAGTATTTGTTTGAAAATAACAGAATAGACAATATTTTTACGGATTCGTATTATGAAAGATTTACAGATTGTTTAAATGAAGTTGCAAAAAAATTTTCGGTTCTTTATAACGATGCGCGTAAGATATTTTTTGTTTTTAAAATTGATGTAAGAAATTATGTTATCAATAAAATACCAATTTTTCGTAGAATACATTGTTACAAGAGTTGAAGAAGAACATTTATGGGAATGTAAACAGTTAGGTGCTCATTCTCCCCATGTTCTTTTAAGTACATTAATGTTTTTTAACACTAAACATTTTAATCTCGTAGTACGTATAAATTATTTTAATGCATTATATAAATAATAATATTTATATTAAAATGATCAAAATTTAATATTACTTAGACAGTAGAAGAGCATATGCAATTATCTTTTTCTCACATTATGAAACATTGGAAACGCAATCCTGCTGCACAACCTACTGCAGCTACAGGAAAGGTTCCAGGTACTAGAAATGTCCTCCTTCGTTTTTATCCACCACAATCAGCATTGGGTTAGTATCAAATAACTCTTATATTAAAAACATAACAAAATTGTAGGATTTTACATTTTTTTCAGAGGGCAATTCACGTAAAAAGAAAGTATATGAGCAACAAGAAAATGAAGAAAATCCATTAAGGTGTCCAGTCAAATTATATGAATTTTATTTGTCTAAATGGTATGTTTATTTATTTATTTATTTATTTATTTTTATCCTATGATACAAAAAGAATTTCAAGTATAAAATATAGTTAGAATTATTCTATTAAAATTTATATTGAACCATGGTACTACTATTTTAGCCCAGAAAGTGTCAAAACTCGGAATGATGTATTCTATTTGCTACCAGAAAGAAGTTGTGTACCGGACAGTCCAGTATGGTATTCAACATCTCCACTGGCTAAGGAACATCTCATAAAAATGTTATATCGTATTAAAATGGTTAAAGAAATTAATGTGGCGTTATTAACTAGCTAATTTTACATTTGCATATTTATCTTTTCCCAGTTAATTCGAATAACATGATATGCAAAACATAATTGTTCCCTTATACATCAGATAATAATGTTCAAAAAATGATGTGTAGTCATTGAAATTTTATAATTTCTATTGTATATTTTTCACTTCCTAATAAAACAAAAGAACATATTATTAATGAAATTTTTTAGAAATTTGAGTATGAAACATATCCAAACAAAGTTGCTATTATGATAAAAATGAGTAATACATATGTTTATAAATTATACATATATATCTATATTTTTACAAATAATTAGAAGCCATGTAAGAAAAATATGTATACCACATCACTTTTTAATATACAAGTAACTTGTAACATGTAACTGGAAAACAAATTTTTATTCATAATTTTAAAAGATTTTATGTGGTTTGTTTTGTCTTTGTAAGATATATTTGCGTTTTAATATATTTTTCTGTATTTCCAACTCATGAAGTTCTGTGTGTATATCTGAAAATATTTCAGCTTGTTCCTCCTCTGGAATAGTCTCCCTATCAAAGTAATAAAATTGTGTATTTAATTACATTTTTTTTCAAATAGTAAACATTTTTTATTGATAATTATATTAGTTTATGTTTCATAAATTTTACCTATAGGTTTTCATCAAATCATATTTCTCCCATGGTTTAGCAGCTGCATCTGATTTTCTTTGATGTTTTTTCTTGATAATTAAATCTTTAACTCCTTTTAAATCTTTACGTTCCCATCTCTGTGACCAAGGTGGTCGATTAAGAGGAATTTTAATTTCATTTAATATAGCACTCCCTGACACTTTTGTTTCTATTTCCATATCAAAAGGAAATGTACTATATTCTAATGGTGCATCTCTAAGATAAAGTAATTCATTATCTAATCTTTTTTCTAACCTATAAATAAAGGAAAATTTTAACATTTACATATAAATGTTATTTATTTTAAATTATAATTGCATTTAATGAATTTATATTTACCTCAAACAATCGATTTGCTGAATAGCAGGATCATATAAATTATAACATACTTCTATACCTTCTCCATTAACAACATTTCTTAAAAGAAATGAAGCTCTTAATCCAGCTCCCTCTCTTAATATACAAATACCAACAAATTTATTCACTTTTGCAGTTGCATGTGGTTCAGAATAAGTTACTGCTAATATTGAACCAACATAAAATTCAGGAATATTTAATATTGATCTTCTAGCCATCATATCTATGCGTTCTAGTTTTTCTCTCATTTTATTACGATATGATGGATTAGGATCTGGTAAAAATTCAGGGTAAATAAATCTATAATTTGCAAAAGATGAAGGCTTATTTAACTCATCATTATTATTAATTGGAATATTATTAGTTTTCCTTTGAGAGTTATTGTCATCATGTACTATTTCTTCTTTCATATGTGCCTTGATTGAAAGAGCTTTAAATTCATTACCTAAAAATAATAATATAATAATATTTAAATAAAGTAACTACACTATAAATTATTTACATAAATATTCATTGTTTTATTTGTTAATCATGAATATAATACATGAATGAATAAGAAACTTTGTATACAAACTTTTTATATAAAATAATATATATAAATGTACATACAATGAGAAACGTACCTAATACTTTTACAAAATTTAATTTTTTCCATGATTTATAAGATAAAATTCTCGAGGAAATAATCATTTTTCGACGCTAATTAATATTTGTTTACACTTGCTTATGAACTTCGTTAGGTTATTTCTTAGTTAATATGTTTCCCGGTAGGTAGTATTATTTTCCTATATAAAACTCAATATAGAATAAACGATATTTCAATGTACCTAGATCAATCGAGTCAAAGAATACATCAGATAGCACGTGGTATACTAAACGAAAGCGTTCCAGTTACATTATGAATTGTAACTATTTACTTGTTTATTTAGAGTATTTAAAAATGTTAAGATTTAAAATTATCTGACTTAAACTATAATAGTTTATATATATTTCTCTGCTAAATTATACTTATTTCAAAGTTGTAAGTTGTAACATTTGTATTTACATACTGTAAAATTTCACTTAATTCTACGATATTTTATTAGTATTAATTCATAAAAATTTAATATTTTAGATATGTATATTAATAAGATATTGGAAAATATTAAAAATTAAGTTTAATATGGATTAACAGATTGAATTAAAAAGATTTATTTATCTTTCATCAATAGTTTTGAAGGTAATTACAATTTTTTTATATTTTATTTTATATAGGTCGTAGTAGACAAATTAAGCTCGAAATTTATTTTTAGGTTCAATGATTTTTCACTGTTCCTTTTTTCAGCATTAAAAAGCAAGGAATTTTATATATATATATATGAAATTATATGCACTGGAGTCAATTTAAACAATGTAAAAAAGGAATGTAACAATGTAATTGGGTTTTTATCTAATTGAAGGATTATAATTTAATTTTTTAATTTAATGCTTTTTCAATATGATAGAATCTATAACATTAGAACTAAGACCTAGATTACAAATATGCAATGCCTTTATATATTTAAAGAAAAAAGTAAATTCAACAGGAGTTAAAATAAAGCTTTTGAAAGAAAGTATAGAAATAACTATAGAAAACAATACAGTAACATTTTTAACAAAATTTGTAAAATTGATCCCAAATTCATTATCAACATTAAATGTAACAAACAATTGGATTTGTTTTCGTGCACAAACAATATCGGATCCTATCCTTGGATCTTTTAAAACTCAAATAATTAGTAATTCTACATTTAATGCTAATTCTATAGATGATTATGTAAAAAGTATTGATTTATCCAATGTAGACAAATGTCATATAATGTGTACATGTTGTAAAAATATTCTCTCCAAAGACATGTATATTAAAAGAGTTTTATCTATACCAGATATGAATTATGATCCAAGTGAATGGTTTTGCTGTAAACATAATCATAATAGCATTATGCATGATTTAAATCCATTAGAATCTGATATTTTCTATGGATCATTTTTTTTTATCTTTCATATAAGTTTGTTTAATCATAATTTAAAACTAGATAAAGATACTATAATTTGTAATAGGTGTTTACAATATTTAGGAAAAGTTCATACAGATAGTTCATTTAAATTATGGAGTTGTGCTGTAGACTATAATTTATTAAATAGTACAAAGATAAGGAATGCTACAAATCCTTTTAATGACTTTTTACTTGCTATTAAAACTTCAATGACTGGTATATTTGGTGAAGAAATAGTTTTACAGTGTTTTGTAGGAAAAGAAACTCATTCTCTCATTTTGAAACCTATGGATTGGCATTTAAACTTAATGATTGAACCAAGGGAAATTCCATGTAATAATGTTGTAACCTTACAAAGAGTATCAGTTGTTAAAGTACTATATAAATATGAAACAAGTAAAAATATTTCTAATTTTGTAAACAGATCATATTGTGAAGTAAGTTTTTTGGTAATAAGAGCAGGTTTGGAACATTTATTAACATCAACAAAACGATTTCCACAGTTTCATAGATTAGTAGCTGATCATTATATTGGACATATATACTTAGAAAATTCTACGAATGATACTTGATCATATTTTTTGTACTTTAAAAACATTTTTAATTTATTTCTAAGTACAAATATAAGTTTTATAACAATTATTATTAAATGTGTTTGTATTGTTCTGATACATGAATAAAGTTTTATTTTATCAAAAATGTACATATTGAATCATATATTACATGTTATATCAAGTAGGAATATTTTACAATGCTGATTTATATACTGCTATTTATGTTAGTCAAATTTAAAACATTATAAATCACGATTTTATTTGCATTTATATAAATAATTAAGCATTGTAAGTTAAGAATTATAACATAATTAAACGAAATTAATCTGTTTAAAATATTTTAATACCTTGCATTTAATTTAAAAGCAATTAAAATGTGTAAAAAATCCTATACATAAACATCTATGAGAAATATTTATAAGTATTTATAGTATGTAAATGCTATATGTTCATATTTCATGAAATTTAAGAACAAACAATTATGTACATAAATGTAATGTACATCGTATATATTATTTTTACAATGACAAATACAATTATCTGTTTTTTACATTTATTAATTAACTCATTCTGAATACTATCTGGAAATGATTTTTAAAACTATCCAAAAGTAAACATTCAATGACAGTCATAATTGTTACAAAATAAAAAAATTTTAGTCTATGCTTTGCGCTAACGATACACGGAGAATATTTGCTATACTAATGAAACAGTTTAAACACATAAGAGAATACTAACGCATTTAGTTTATTATTATTTGATTAAATTTACTTTTTATTTGTGTTGTATTAGGCTAAACTGCATTGAAATTTTCGTTAACAGAAATTGTAAATTATCATCAATAATATTATTTTTATGGCTGTATATATTTTTTTTAACAATACATAAGCTTGTATGTCAATGTCGACATATAATACATAGCACAATACTGTGCGAATTTTTTTTTTTCTTTTAATTCAGTAATTATCAATAGTAATACATTATAAAAAATAATTTGCCTGCTATCAAATACATATATATCTTTCAATGAAATCTTAATATTGTATAGCACTTTAATATTTGCTATTGTACTTAATCAGGTTTATATATATAAAAGCAAAGGGAAACAAAATTTTCAAGAAAAGAATTTGTAATACCTTTCAGTTTTGTTCTTCTGTTTAGCACAGAGTTCATTAGGCTTAAAAGTAGTAAATATATTATGAATTATATATGTTAGGCCTTAAATTTCTAATATAGTGCAATGTCTAAAACTGCAGTAAATCATATTGCAGGTTTATGTTGTAACAACTTGACTGGAACAAGAATGTAGTCTGTCTACAAGAGGTTTTACATAAATCCAGCTACCATCTTTGGTTTCTTTGAACAACTATTAAAAGATAAGACTTTATATAATTATTTGATGTAAAGGAATAAAAGAATATGTAATTAAAAAAAAGAATATACCTTAGTTTGCCAATTAACATTATTTTCTTTTCTAATACGTGCTTCATCTCGTTGTTTTTGTTCAATTGCGCACTTAGCTGCTGTTGCTTTTTCCATATCGTTAATTCTTAATCCAACAGTTACATCCCGCCAAACTTTCCGCGATTCATGCTCTTCTTGTTCACAGATTGGTTTTACTAGTTTTCTTTGAGTATGAAGTTCTTTAACATCCGCAAATATTTCAGTCCTCTACAGAAATTAAGTTTATAAAATAAAATAAAGTAAGATAAAAAATCAATATATTTTATAAATATTTATCATACTTACTCCATCAGTCCATTTTGCTTCCATGGCACCACTCCATTCTCCGTTTATAATAACAAATGGTTTCTTATCTCCTGGTTGTGTAATTTGACATGTAATTCGATTACGTTTACCACCATAAAAAGGTTTTGTCAGAAATTCTATAGTAGCATGTAAACCAGTTTGTGTACAATGAATAGTTGCGGTTCCTCCTAATTCTATCCATGGTACAGTGAGAATAGATCTACCATAACCATTTGGAAATGTCAATACATATTCTTCTCCATGTTGTAATACATTTACCCAACCCTTTCCAACATTATGTACTCCTATACTCAATCCAAGAAATTTACTCTTTGTCCATACATGTGCTCCAAAGCTAATCTTTTTTGCATAATGTTCAGCATAAAATGCACTTACTATAATATAAGTGATAATATTTTAACTGAAAAAGTATTTTGAAAGAATTGTAATAAATAAAATGAAACTTACTGGGAGGATGATGAGAAACTTGTTCGGCAATAAATGAAAGCTGACTCTCTTTGCACCAAGGTACAGGACCTCCAACAACTAGCTTTGTATCATTTAAATTATCTACAGTCTCATTAGGAATATCCCAATAACATCTGAAAATTTCACCTAATATTGGATTGTAAGGTTTTTTTGCTACTCCTGATTTGCGACCTGCGTGAAAACTGCATAAATACCAACGTACTACTTGAACCATTCTATCTTTGGGTGTAGACATATCTGCTATGCTAAAATATACAATACTGTACTGTATTAAGAGTTTCAATAACATTGGCAAAAATTATTTAGTAGTTATTTATTCCATAGAATATACCTTACAAACTGATCCGGATGAGTAAAATAGTCTGCATACATTTCAAGAAGCGACCTGCGCTCTAAAATAAATGTAGGTAAGGCTACTTTTGTTAAATCCATACCAATTTTTACTTGAGACAAAAGATGAGCTACAACAGACCCATGAGATTCCATGGAGTCCACTAAAATGTAATATAAAGAGAATTTAATTTTATTTAAATAATTTATTAATATAATGATTATTTTATTAATATAATGATTACTAACTTTCTGTCTCACTTTCCTCTTCATAAAGGGCTGTAACATGTAACAAAATTTTACAATAATAATCCATAAACAATAAAATTTAGTAAATTTAATGGTAAAAAATAATTAAAAAAGTCGTTTTTGTTATAATTTATTTTAATATTTCTGTTTTAAGTCAATAATAATTGTAATATGTTTACCAATTTAAAACTTTAAACTCAAAGAATACAACCTATAATAACAGAAATACTTTCATAAATATGAAGATATTACTTATAAATTATATTTCACTATAATTTAAAGACTTACTGTTTAAATTTGCACTCAACATACTGCGTTTTTATAAAATATCAGCTAATATCCATTCCTAAATACGTTTATTATATGAATCGACTCAACGAATTACAACCGTTTTTTCTGCGAAATAAAATTTTTAAGGACAGCAAAACTATTAGAAGTTGAATAAATTCTTTTTTTTGTAATTGTGCCATATTATGGAACATTTAAACTTAATTTTAACTATAACTTTGATAATACGATAATTCATGTGTACAAATGTAGTGACAGGTAAGGTCGACTGATGCAAATCTGCATTATCGATAACGACGAACACAATTTATTGAAACACGTTGATGTTAATGTAATTCACTTCTTATTAAAATATAATTTATTATCTTACATTATATTTCGTTTAATACACGAATTTTATGGTATAGATATGTTTAGAAATAATTAACAACAATTAAAACATTTTCTAATGTTATCTTTACAATTTTTTTAAATTAGTTAAATTTTTATATTATTTTATTTAAATCTCTTTTTTAATTTTAAACTACAAAATTTTATTATAAGTAAATATATAATAGACAAATAAAGTAGAACTTACGTATCCTAAGAAAAAGAAATTGTATACGAAAATTTTATATTGAATAGTATGAAACATAGATTTTTAAATATTTAACATAGATTAGTACTTACCATCGTAATCAACGGATCCATCACCTTTCGTCGGAGGTAACGGAGATTGCTTCCGATTTTCATTCGATACATCCACATGTGATTGAGAACGTTCGCTATCTCGTCTTCTACTGAATCGTTTAATTATTACAACATATGACATATATTTCTTAAATTTTATATTAAAAATTCACGAACCCTGATAAATACTTACATAGCGATATGACTTTGTATTGCAGAAGGAGGTGATATTTCATCTGCTGCATCATAATAATCTTCGTCTTCGTCCGAAGATGAATAAGAAAATTGGGGTACAGGGAGATCTTTATCCACAACAGCTTTACGAATAAAAATCAGTAAAAATGCGCGTTTTAATGCATTTTTCTATTTGATTCATGGTTTTATTTTCAAAAACACTATAGCTTAATAACTGAACATTTATTTTTAATTTAGTATACATAAATAAGAAAAATAAATTACCATTTGGCAATGTAGATACTCTTAGTTCTACACATTCTGAACCTAATTCAATACCAGTTTGTACAGTTGCTTCTGGTTGTCTATCAGCAACTAAAATTTGTTATATTATGGGATCCTCATTATACATGTATTTCATATTCTTTTTAAATACATACCATGAAATAAGGAAGGTGAAACATGTATTGAATCAGTCGGTCCCCTATATATTCCATTTACAGGTATAGCTGTATTCTAACAATATTATATTTATTATGTAAAATACATGAAATTTAATTATAAAACTTATTAATATAATATTTTATAATTATAATAAATATTTACCTTTGCAATTTGTAATTGAATAAATATATAATAGACAAATAAAGTAGAACTTACGTATCCTAAGAAAAAGAAATTGTATACGAAAATTTTATATTGAATAGTATGAAACATAGATTTTTAAATATTTAACATAGATTAGTACTTACCATCGTAATCAACGGATCCATCACCTTTCGTCGGAGGTAACGGAGATTGCTTCCGATTTTCATTCGATACATCCACATGTGATTGAGAACGTTCGCTATCTCGTCTTCTACTGAATCGTTTAATTATTACAACATATGACATATATTTCTTAAATTTTATATTAAAAATTCACGAACCCTGATAAATACTTACATAGCGATATGACTTTGTATTGCAGAAGGAGGTGATATTTCATCTGCTGCATCATAATAATCTTCGTCTTCGTCCGAAGATGAATAAGAAAATTGGGGTACAGGGAGATCTTTATCCACAACAGC